GCCCTTAGTATGGCTGCATCCACCTTACAAGCATTTTACCCCTAAGCTTCTTCTTTCCTCCCTCCCTTCCTTCCCCCCCGCCTCTTTTCTTCCCTCCCTCGCCATATCCTGATTTCCCAAAGATGTTGGGTCATTTCTAAAACTTAAACATTTACTCTGAAGGAATTGTCCATCTTAGTATCAGATCCAATTGTTTCTCTTAAAAAATAATTTGATGTGACAAAAAGTGTAAAAGATTACACTTTTCGGCTGCGGAGTGGGAAAGATGGGTGAGGGAATTGCCTTGGCTTGATAGTGTGGTAATCTTATTATATTAACTTTAATTGCCAGAATGCTATAATTAACTACAGATTCAACCTTCTTTCTATTAAATATGAAGTAGTAATATCCTCCTCAGAGTGCATGTATAGAGCATTATACAAACATTTGGACAACTTCATCTCTATTAAGGTTTCCAAACATTTCCTTAAAAGTTTTACTTAAAATTTGAAAGAGCTTTTAGTAGAAATAACACATTTGTAGAATTCTTGGTGCTTTTGCTCTGCATTCTGGCTTGTAGTAAATCTTAGTTATAGATTTATTGATTATTTGTATTAAAAGTGATACTGGCATGTAATCTGTGGGTTGTCTTGCTTGTACTATAATTAAAACATAGAATTGGAAGAAGTAACTTCAGTTTCCTTTGCATAGAGAAAATCTCTGCTGGCTTTAGAGAAGGAAGAAGAAGAGGAGAGAAGTAAAACTATAGAGAGTTTGAAGACAGCACTAAGGACAAAACCAATGAGGTAATTTTTTCCTGAGTAGTGGGGACTACTTGTCTCTTTTCTTTTTCTTTCTTTTACTCCTTTTCTACCCTTCCCAAACTTTTGAGGAACTCTTAAAAGCATGCAATTGAACCATGGATGAAATACTTTAATCACTGAACTTTCAATGAATTGATTTCCTTCAATTAAAAGGTATGCCTGCAGCTATTAGGTGGCTAAAATGAAAAAAAAAAAAGACAAATTAGCAGGTGGTGTGGAGAAATTGCAACCTTCATTCATTGCTGTTGGGAATGTAAAATGGTGCAGCCATTTTGGAAAAACAGTTGGACAGTTCCTCAGAATGTTAAATATAGTGTTGCCGTAGGACCCAACAATTCTACTCCTTGGTATATAGCCAAGGGAAATGAAAACATGTCCTCCAAAAAACTTGTATGCAAATATTCATATCAGCATTATTCTTAATAGCCAAAAAGTAGAAACAACCCACATTCTATCAAATGATGAATGGGTAAGTAAAATGCAATATACCATGCAGTGGGATATCCTTCGGCCATAAAACGAAATGGAGTACTGACACATACTCCAACAGGATAGGGCTTGAAAATGTTTATGCAAAGTGAAAAGAAGCCAGACACAAAGAACCACATATTGTATGATTCCGTTTATATGAAATATCCAGAAAAGGCCATTCATAGAGACAGAAAGATTAATGGTTCCCTGGGTTTGGGGAGAGGGAAGATAGTCTTTTGGGAGTGATTAAATTGAAAAAGTGCTCTAAAATCACATAGTGGCAATGGTTACACAACCCTGTGCATAGGTTAGAAATCACTAAATTGTATATTTGAAAGTGAGTTTTATGGCATGTGAGTTATATCTCAATAAAACTTACTAAAAGGAGGATGAACAGTCAGCTTCCACTGCGTCCCACATCTTCATCTTCCAGAAATGCCTCTAAGGTGTGGTGGGATGTTGGACCTACAGGGACATTTCATTAGCCATAGGTGCTATGAATGAAATTAACTGGTTTAACCAGCTTGGTCATATCTGGGTCATGTGGTTGGGTGAAAGGCTGGAAAGTGAAGATTCCCTTCCTTTATTTGACTATAAAATGCTAAGAAAAACCTACTGATACACCAAGAGTCCTATGCAGTTGTACAATAGGTTTTTTTCTAGCCTATGCTGACTAGATGAGGGTTTCTGTGTGTGTTTTCTGCATCCTCAGATGTTAACGGGTATGCAAGGCTAAGTAAGTTTGGAAATTTCTGGAGTAGTCAGATAAACAGGTTAAATTGCTAGTGAACTTTTCAGAGACTTAACATGCAGATGTGCATTGTGAATTATTCTTGTTGATTGACTTTACAATAAAAAAAAGTGCTATAAATATCAATAAAATTTAGTGTATGGTGATAAAGTATTGCTTTTATTTGTTTTATGTATTGGAATTCCATGTAGCATGTCATAAAAAAGAAGGGTTTTGCTACAAAACTTTAGGGATACGGATTATCATTTGATTGATAAGCAAATACCCTGGAGTGTAAGGGTGCTCTTGGACCTTCATTGAGGTGGGGCCTGGTCAGTAGTTGACGCATACAGGTGTATGGGAGCTGGATGCTACAATAATGCAGAATCAACAGATGACTGAACCTGAGACAATTATTCTCAGTGCCTTTTTGTTCCTGATATTCTGTGGTTATATGATCTGTTAATTGGTTCTTTGTGTCAGTTGAGATCTGTTTACCTCAAAAGGAGATTTTTTTCACACTTCTGGTTAGACCTGAGCACTGGGTCCATGCCGAGGAAGAGGCCAGGAGTTAAGAAGACTTCCTCAGTGTAAGCCTCCTGGCACTTTAGGGACTACATGGTCTTCCTCTCTCCTGCCCCTTCAATCATTTCCATTAAGGGCTGTTACAAAATTCCAAAGAGACTTAAGTCTGACCCATTTTCACCTTCTCCGGACAGGTTTGTAACCAGATTCATCGACTTGGATGGCCTGTCATGTATTCTCAACTTTCTAAAGACCATGGACTACGAGACCTCGGAGTCTCGAATACATACCTCGCTCATCGGATGTATAAAAGCGCTAATGAACAACTCTCAAGGCCGGGCTCACGTCCTGGCTCATTCTGAGAGTATAAATGTAATTGCTCAGAGTCTGAGCACAGAGAATATTAAAACAAAGGTGGCTGTGCTGGAAATCTTGGGCGCCGTGTGCCTGGTTCCCGGGGGCCATAAGAAGGTTCTGCAGGCCATGCTGCACTATCAGAAGTACGCCAGCGAGAGAACCCGCTTTCAGGTGGGTGTGCTCCCTCACCACTTTTCATTCGCCCCCTGACAGGCGCCCTTGCTGGCTCCAAGCAGGGAAGGCACAGAAGGTGATGAGATTCCCCCCCCCCCCCCGGGAGATTGCTCACACTGTGACTCCAAGCATTTCCTTCCTCTTAAGTTTTAGTACCACAGAGTAGAGTGTACTTTCAGTAGTTGATCAGTCTGGGGTGTTAGATTTACTGACCTTGAAAATGGGGCACTGCTTTCGACACATTATATAGCACACATCTTTTGAATCCACTAAATGGAGTGTTTCCTGAAAATTTCACAGGTTGCCATTCTTGATTTAGGGTCAGTATAAATAGTGAGATTATGTCACCATATTTATGCTCAAATATAAAAAGCATGCAGAGTTAACAAAGCACAGTCTTTTGTACTTAGTATTCATGCAAATATGAATATATATTATATATATGTATATGTGTATTATATATATATATATATATATATATATATATATATACACATATGATATTAAGAATTTTGAAAATAGAGTTTTTAGGCCTAATCTTAAGGGGGAAAAAGTGGCTTTCTATGGATCAATGCAGTTCTGACTAAACACAAGATTTTAAAAATTAATTCCTGAATGTTAAAAAAAGTAATAAAATGAGTGTAAGGTTAGTAATAATTCAGGTAATGATTTATACCTGCATCCTTGGCAGACGTTAATTAATGACTTGGATAAAAGCACGGGGCGGTATCGCGATGAAGTGAGTCTCAAGACGGCCATCATGTCTTTCATCAACGCCGTGCTGAGCCAAGGGGCAGGCGTGGTAAGGACCTTCTTCTGTAGCACAAGTTAAAACATACATTATTACAAAATAATTTTTTAAAATATTACTGACTGCAGTCTCTAAAGCATAAATTATTATTTTATCACCCTTTTACTTTCAGGAAAGTTTGGACTTTAGACTTCATCTGCGCTATGAATTTCTGATGTTAGGAATTCAACCTGTAATAGATAAATTAAGGGAACATGAAAATTCAACCTTAGATAGGTAAGTCATACCGTTGTGACCTGAGATGTAGTTCGTGCGTTTTCCATGAAGGTAGTGCCAGTGTGTGAACCACTTGTGACCTGTCTGTAGCATAAGGAGCTTGTAGCAGAATGTTAGTTCGGCTAATGATGTTTTTGTATATTAAGACTTTCTTAATGAAAGAAGCAGCATATTGTGTAGAGAACGCAGTGGGGGTTTCGGCACTCAATCTGAATCCATATTCTAGGGTTTAGTATTAGTGTCCTGATTTCTATGTGCCTGTGTTCATAGGATGTTCTACTTTTCATAGCTTCTCTTGACTTGTCTTGCAGGCATTTAGATTTTTTTGAAATGCTCCGAAATGAAGATGAGCTAGAATTTGCCAAAAGATTTGAACTGGTACGTATGTATACAATTATTCTAATTTGACTCATCCGCCCATGGAATTTCCCTACTGTAATGCTGTCAGAGAGTTGACATGGACCAGTGTAACCTAAAAGCAAAATCAAAGTTCTAGTGGGTTGTCGGAAAAGTCATGACATAGTTTTTCTGTTTTTCGTTGCAAAAATGTGTCATGACTTTTCCGACAACCCAACATTTTGCTATCTAAGTGGCAGGATGAGCCTCTGTGTGCCTGAGGTTTGCTTACCTTGCATTATGGGAATTGAGGAACATGGGTGTTTGACCTCAATTTCTTTTTCATGTGAAATAGGTTCACATAGACACAAAAAGTGCGACTCAGATGTTCGAGCTGACCAGGAAGAGGCTGACCCACAGCGAAGCTTACCCTCACTTTATGTCCATCCTACACCACTGCCTTCAGATGCCTTGTGAGTATGTCTGTGACGCTTATTTTAGAATGTTTGGACATCGTCCACAGGGCTGTGTCTTCCGAACCATGGTGACTAGGCTGGGTGTAGCCCAGGTTGGTTTTGTGACAGCCCAGTGTGCCTCTCTCCCTTCAGCCTAAGGAGTATTGTGAAGTCCTCACAACTAAATGAATTGTCACTTACTTGGATTTTAAAAATAAATAGATGCCTTACAACACATTTATAAAGTGGTAGAAAGTGCCTCTCAATCAAATAAGTGATCATCACATGTCAGCATCCCAGAAACTTGGGGCAACACGGGTGCAGATATTACAAACATCTCTCTGGTTCTGTGGCTGGCTCTTCAGGTGACCACTGTTGAAAACTATTCATCCTGTTTAGAAATAACTTGAAGTGTTTCCCCCCCATTCTTTCTCTTTTTTTTTAGACAAGAGAAGCGGCAACACTGTTCAGTACTGGCTCCTACTCGACAGAATTATTCAGCAAATAGTTATCCAGAATGACAAAGGACAGGACCCTGACTCCACACCTTTGGAAAACTTTAATATTAAGAATGTTGTGCGAATGTAAGTTTCTTCTTATTCTGCTGCCTGTAAGGTAGTAGTGACGGTGTAAGACATTTACTTTATTTTACTGCAAAATAGCAGCTGGGAGAACCTAAATGTTCTAGAGGTCAAATGTGAGGTCCTATGTATCCACATGTCATGTACCTAAGTAACATCTGGGTTTAAAGGGGGCTCAAGCATGGCGGGGGTTTTCTCTGAAGTAGGCTATTTTTATACCCAGAGAGGAGTGCCTTTAGCAGTGGGCCTTTTATGTTTTCTGTAATGAACACTCCTCTGTTACACAGGTTGGTTAATGAAAATGAAGTTAAACAGTGGAAAGAACAAGCAGAAAAAATGAGAAAAGGTAAGTGATGAGGCCCTGACAAGAAATTTTCATTGATGTCTCGTATTGAATTTTGTGTGTCAAACAGTCTTTCTTTTTCTATGTCTTAAGGGCACCTAGCACTGGTTTTTCTTGAATCAAGCTATTTTAGTTGTCATGCTGCTTCCCCAATATTTTATCCTTTTATAATAATCATGTAAATTTTTTGAAAAAGCTTGTTGCTTTTTCTGTTCAGTATTCATTAATTCAAATTTTCCTAACCACTAACCATCCCAACTCATCCCCCACTCCATAACAGCTCTTTACAGCACACTGGGTTTTAAGAAAAGTAATAAGGAACACCAGGGATTACCCAGAATTCTAAAAGAGAAACACAGGCCACTTGGTTTCAGAAGCCCAGTTCTTCACATGACCTTAATTTGGCACCTCTTATATAAAGAGAAATCATGCAGAGACTCACTAATGATTGTATAATATGTGTTATGAAACATTAACAGGCCAGCTATTAGGGAGTGTTTGGATGTCTTTGATATTAATACTCAGCATCGAATGACCAAGAGGGTCATTCGTGCCCATCACTGTGCCAGCTACTCACAAAATGGATATAACTTTCTCCCCTCCTACAAAATACCAGCAAATTAAAGTTGGCCCCATTTGAGAAAACAATCATACTCCCAGCCACTGCTCTTTCTCTATGCTGGTTCACCGACTTCCTGTTCCTTGTCCAAGTTATTCAGTCACAGCCAGTGAAATACAAGAGCACTCACCCCAATATTTATTGTGTTGAAAGAAGGGCCGAGAGATGCTGAAGCGTTTCCTTTCCTCTTGTCACATTTGTTGCTTTCCATTGAGTAGAAAAGCAGGGCCACCACTGATACCAGGAAATACCAGATGTGAAGTACTGTCATGTTACACTGCTCTCAAAATTACAATTTGAGAGCAATTACAATTGCTCTCAAAAAAGTAAGGTTGCCCATACATTTTTATAAATAATTTCCAGAAACTGCTATAGAAAGAATAGAAACCCTGACTAAAAGTTAAGGTAAAGAGAGATTACACCAAAGAGAAAATAGTCAATGAGTAATATTTGAGGGACACACCACCCTTAGAGGATGAAGACTTAGGTATGCAAGTTGAGAACAGAACTTAGGACGTATGCTTTGGAGCCATTCGGTCATTTATTCAGCGGGTATTTATTGAGGGCCTGTGTTTATCAGGCACTGAACTGGGCTCTGGGTCTGAGCCTTGGCTCTGCCCCTGACTTACTGTGTGGACAGGCTAAGTCATGTTCTCTTCTCCTCCAGCCTCCTCTGTAAAATGAAGATTTAACCTACATCACAGGTTGTGGTGAAGATTAAACGATAAAGCAAATATAAGGACTTCAGCATAGTTTCTGGCACATGCTAGTTGCACAATAAATGACAGGGATTTTTATAGACTATAGACAGCTTAGGTGATACAAGAGAAAATGGCCAAGGCTAGGAGGAGGAACAGGATGTCTTAAAGTGAGGTCAAGGGTAAAGTTAAAAAAATGGAGATATAGTAGATAAAACTAATTCTTTTCTGGAAGCTTGTGATAGCCAAGTTGTATTAAAGAGGGCACATGCTGATGAATTAGTCAGAGGGTGGAGGCTGTGAGGAGACGGGAAGTTTCTATGGACCTGAAAGGTAGAGAATATCTGTGGAGACTTCTCTTTAGTGCAGCACACCCAGAAAAGTGCAGAATAAAAGCTTAGCAAATAGATGATAAGTGGATGCCATTTGTGGAGAGACTCCTTTAGGGTGGAGCGTCCCAAACCTGGCATTACATCAGAATCATCTAAGGAACATTTGTAAACCCAAATCCCTGAGCCCTGCCCTACAACTTACAGAAGAGACTTCCTAGAATGGGGTCTGAATGTCCTGAAATGTTAAAATCTCTCAGGTGGTCTGAAGCAAGGCCAGGTTTGTCAGAGGCTAATGACTGATGATAGGAAGTCATGTCTTAAAGCTGTCGAAGAGGAATGAAATGGAGATGGAAGAAGGAAAAGGGGACCGAGTGAGGGAGTTTTTAGATGTGTTTCTGACTGAACAGAATGGTGAAAGTGGGTTAATTAATGGTTATCTTAACTCCAAGGCGGGTAAAATCTAAGGATTTTAATGCCTTGAACCCTTCTCTGCAAATTCTGATTTTGGAGGACTCAGAAGACAGAAAGTAAGAGACAGAGAAAGCAAATTTTTAAATGTGTTATTAAATTCAGACATAGAGACCAACTCTGTATAGCTCTGCCCCAGTGGGTTATATCTCCAGTGGGTTTGTTGATATAAAAAGACTAGGAATTGGGGCCAAGTATTTGAAATAAAGATCTGCAGCCTAAACTTCATTAGTCCTCTTTTCCAAAGCTCATCCCTTTCGTCAGTGCTAGAATCAGCAGGCATATTGGCAACGTAAATAAACATTATGCTAAATTGGATGCTTTGTTCCATATAGCGGCATTGAGGAGCTAATATTTTTCCTCTTTATATTATGGCAATTCTCATGCTCAGCCAATACTAATGCCCTAAAGATATTTAATGATGAGATGGTAACGTTTGCTTTCATGAGTTTCAAGAATGTTTGCCGGAAGTATAAATGCATCCAGCCCAAGTAGCCTTCTGAGGGGGAATGGGAGAAATGGCCCTGTGCTGGACACACACTCGGTCTGGCAGCAGATTTCTTCACAGTGCAAAGCCCTCCCTCTCAGCTCCTCTGCGAGTCGGACACGAGCCAGCAAACCTAGCTAACAAACACTGGACTCCTCTCCTTCTCATTCCTAATTTGTGAAAAGAGGCCTTTTTAATATTCCTTTTCCCCCATATAGCCACAGGGCTATTTCTGTGACAGGATTCTGAATTAAGTACCTAACAAGCACCATTCTCCTCCACAAGCAGCTGCTCACACTGGTGCTCCGTCTTTAGACCTGTGACCATAAGGGCTTCTTCTTCCGACTTTTACAAAATGTCACGGTTAATAAAGTTGTTCATCCGAAGCCTTCTCCAAGCACGAACCCCGTGAGTTCGCTCCCCTTGGTAGAGAAGAGGGATAGTATTTACCTAATAATAAAGAGCCTCCCAGTCCTCAGTCAGTTTGCTTTTCAGAGGAGACGCTTCAGCTTTGAAGAGTCCGGTTTTCATGTCTGATTGTTTTCATGCACAGAGCACAATGAGCTACAACAGAAACTGGAAAAGAAAGAGAGAGAATGTGACGCCAAGACCCAAGAGAAGGAGGAGATGATGCAGACCTTAAATAAAATGAAAGAGAAGCTGGAAAAGGAGACCACTGAGCACAAGCAAGTTAAGCAGCAAGTGGCAGACCTCACTGCGCAGCTGCACGAGCTCAGCAGGGTGAGGGCCACGCGCACCCCATCTTCCGTCCCCACTCATCCTGAAGCCCCTCAGTCCTTCAAGTCCCAGCTTCAGGCTGGGGGAATAAAACCTAAAATGCCTCGTGACCCGTCACAGTGGCTGTGGGACAGGCTCCCTCTGCAACCGTGTAGGTTACGCAGCAGAGGCAGTTTGGGGTGTGCGTTTTTAAATACAGATCCCCTAATAAGAGCAAGGGAAACCATATTAGTTTCTTACGATGAAAACTGATTTCATGAAAACCAAACTGTACAATGGTACAAGAAGTGAGAGACATGCAAACGCTTTGCAGATAAGCCAAATACAAAGGTCTGACCCAGCAGAGTCCCCAAAGGCCCAGAAGGTCTGTTTCACTTACTGCCCCTTTAAAGTCACAGTCTCAGAAGTGTGAATTTCTCTGTAATGTACAATTTAAGCAAAGTTCCAGACTCGAAAAGTCGTCCAATGAATTTATGTCTTTCATTGATCTTCTCTTTTCCTGTTTTTATCTTTTCAGAGGGCTGTCTGTGCTTCCATCCCAGGTGGACCCTCACCGGGAGCCCCAGGGGGGCCCTTTCCTTCCTCTTCACCAGGATCTCACCCTCCCCCACCACCCCCACCTCTGCCAGGTGGAATGCTTCCTCCTCCACCCCCTCCTCTCCCTCCCGGTGGTCCTCCTCCTCCCCCAGGGCCTCCTCCCTTGGGGGGAACCATGCCACCTCCTGGTGCTCCTCTGGGCCTGGCACTCAAGAAGAAAAACATTCCTCAGCCCACCAATGCCCTGAAATCCTTCAACTGGTCCAAGCTGCCCGAGGTAAGCCATTTGTTCCAATTTCCCCTCCACTGGATGGTATTCCCGGCTCACTGTGCTGTCACAGACGGGGAAGCAGCCCTGGCCGCTAAGCGATTTCATTTGCTAGTGTGGACTCAGGGTTCTCACCAGCTCAGATATTTAAGTGACAAAGCTTCAGAAATAAAGGACACGTTGTTTGAGCATCTGGTGGAATGAAAAATTGGGAATAGCAGCATTTTCAAAAGTAAATTACCACGTCTGTTCTTTTTGTGTATATCTGTAAACTCTAACACTTACTTAACTTGATGTTTGCAGAACAAACTGGAAGGAACAGTATGGACCGAAATTGATGATACGAAGGTCTTCAAAATTCTAGATCTTGAAGACCTGGAACGAACTTTCTCTGCTTACCAAAGACAGCAGGTAACAGCATGTGCCCTCCAGATGCTATAGGAGGAAAAGCATGTTCTTGTGCCTAATCCCTGGGCCATCTGCCATAACCTTGATATGATAGGCATCTTCGTTCTAGGCTGTTTGGTCTACCCTGGCGTGTTCCTGCAAAGCAGCATGGTGTATGCATCCACACGTGTGTCCAAGGGCCTGTGGGGGAGGGGGGGGAGAGAATGTGTGTGTGTGTGAACATGTTGAAGACATACACTCTCCTTGTTAGTAATCTTCATATGCTGGTGTGTGTCCAAGACCTTGTCTCCATTAGTGAAGGCTCTGTATATTATTATCACTATGCTTAGTCAAAATAGGTCACCAGGAGAAAATGTTAGTAGGGGAGTTACCTAACTTGTATTGTCACCTCATAGTGTTTATTTCTGAAGTCATTTTAGTTTATCTGACTTTAAATATGTTATTGTCAGAAGTGGACTGCTTTTTTCAAATAGATGGAAACTTTAGAAGTATGGGGGGAGGGGAGGCATGGTAAAATTACTATGATTTGGCAGCTAGCTGGCACCTGGAGAGGAGTTTTTACTGTGTGTCATGAACATGATCGACTCCGAAGTGGGGCTAGGAAGGCTGAGCAAGGGCGCAGGTGGCAAGGATGCAGATAGGACCAGAGAAGCTTCTGAAAGTGAGCAAAGCTTTCGTGATAGTTACGAGAACATACAATTTGATGCTTGCTGACGTGGCCGAGCAGTCAGTGTCACGTTGTGAGCCCTGGTCACGTCTGTATGGTGCCTATCACTCCTCGAGAGCCCATCTTAGTAGAGCCTCTTAAGGGTGGACCAAAAGAGGTTGCAGCAAGGTTGCTAGATTCAGAGAGTTTGCGAAGAACAAGGAAAAGGTGGAGTGGGGTCCCAAACTGTCAATCAGAGACCTGGGAAGGGAAAAACTGAGTCCCCGGGCATCTGCACAGGGGCTTTCCTTGGGCTTTGCTGAGAGGCCCTGAACTCCGGCGTGAATCATGCCCAGGGTGGGGCATCCTCAGACAGGCAGCAGACTTTCTAGCCTGCTTAGGCTTGGCCTGCTTCCTAAGAAAGAGTATCTCACAACAGAACTGTCAAGTACCAAGAAAGAAGACAGACTGAGGCTGGGGGACTAACAAAAGACTAGGGGTCTTCAAAATGGCCTTGTGATATATCTGAAATTGAAAAGGAAACGTAATATTCCTTTAGCCAAAATATTTTCACTTAGAAGGGAAGCTTCTCTGCAGTGCATTCTATTTGATTTTAGAAAAGTACAAAAACACAAGCGGTTGCCTGTGATGGCAGCATGACCCGAAAACAGGAGCCATCAGCTGGGGCCACACATAAGTATAGAGGCAGACTTGTGCAGTGTTGTACACACCATTAAAGGAAAATGAAGAACAGAAGGTTAGACGTCCAGTAGGAAGCAAGACACTTTATCTTTCCAAGTACAAACAAAGGGTGTGTTCAGAGCCCTCATATACAGCAGGTGCTCAGACCACATTCATTCCCAATTAGCTGGACCACCTCTCTCTTTGCCCCAGGAAGCTGTCCTCTGGGCCTCAACATGAAGTCTTAGGATATTTTAGCAAACTTTCTGATAGATTCAAGTAATCTTCTGACCTCATTACACATCCCATTGGTTTCCTGCTTCAGTTTCAGACACTAATGCTAGTCCATTTTGGTTGCCGAAGGTAAAGGTTTGGGAGCTTAGAGAAGTAAATTAAAGGAAGGAAAAACAGCAGTTATTCCAAATGATGCTATTCGAGTCTGAGCATGTGGGTTGCATTTATTATGAAGGCAGGTGGTTGAAAGACCCAAGTTTACAAGACTTGTAATTAACTGACTTTCAGCAGAAGGTGCAAAAGGATGCTGCCAAAATGCTCTGGGACAAATATGTGGACAATTCTCAAGAGCCCTGGGAGACAGGGTTGCAGAAAGCTTGGCAATTCAGTAATTGTCTCCTAGCAACCAATTACTGTTTAAGTAATCAGCAGTCATTCCAGTCAGGATAGACCGGAATATTTCAGTTGTACTTAACACTAAGTAGACTGGAAGTAGAATCATTTGTTACATTTTCAATAGCACTTCCTGGAGAAAAATTTCAACACACCTGCTCTGCTTGATTCAAGTATGTTTCCCCTCTTGGTGCAAGAATTTGAGATGAGAACTTTTAAACCATAAGTCTATTTCCCATATGAAGGAAATTTGAGTCATGTAGTTGAACTTACTGAATGTTGAGACAGAAAATCGAGATACAGACATTCTAGTAGGAATATGTAGGACAGAGCAAATGACATGGGGTGCCTGTCATTGAATGTCCCCTCATCTCATAGCTGATGACTATGCCACAGACCTGTGCATTTTCATTTAGTCTTGGCTATGCACTATATAATTATCACACCTAAACTGCTCTCTTTTCCACTCCCAAATGGACACTGGGAACCTATTTTTTCTATGCCATCTCTGCTTTCTTGCCTCCAGAGTTATAAAATCCTGGTCAAACTCTCTGGACTTCGGACAGTTGTTTGGCCACGTGAATTTCTCAGAGAGGCGAAGGAGCGCATGCATGCCATTATCTGCATGAGTGCAACAGGAACGCTACACAGAGTAAGATTTTTTTACTCTGTATCAGTTTAGTATAATTTAGGTGAATGCTGATTAATGACATGCAGGAGAGATTTTATATAAATATGTGTACACACCCACACACATACAAAGAGATATGCCCCATTGATTTGAGACATATTGTATCATTAAAAACAAATATTTATACTGTCTGCTTTGTATATGAAGTACTTCAAATGATGCAAGTGTATTAAAGTATTGCATAAGCCTACAATGCAAATTATAATATAAAAGCAGAGATGAGGAAAATCTGTAAATAACCATGAGATAGACTAAAAGATGATATTCTAAATTGATAATCAGTTTTGGTACTGAGTGTGATATGTACAGTTTCCAGTCTTATCAACCCTAAAGTTTAGTTCTCAAGCTCTTATACTTATTTTTAAATTTAATCTTCACATCAGTTCTACGAAGTGAGTATGATTTCTAGTGAAGATAATAAAAATGTGGTTTAGTGTGTATTCAGTGTCCAAACAGGAGGCACAGTCAGGTATACAAGTGGCTTAATTCTCAGTTTCACTTTGTTCCTCTGCCATGGTTTAATTCACTACAAAAGTCAGGCTTTATAAAGGATTTTCTTTAACTCCAGCTTTAAGAACAAGATCATTCCTATTCGTGGTTTTTTTCAGTGAGGATATCAAAGGTGTGGAGAGCAGATTATGTAAGCTTATGTGCCACATGAAATGGAATTTAATAGCGTCCAGTCATTCCCCTGCTCATATTTCCAAAAGTTCATTTGAAAGTCAATTTCTTGAGTATCAAAACCCCTTTTTCTCATTAAAACTATATTATACATGATTTCCAGGCCAACCACAAAAGACTTATTACATAAAGTAGCCCATTGTATAATAATTCTATTTCAGACAACCAAACAATATTAACTTGGTTTTATGGGAAATTTTTACCTTGAGATATTATAAATTCATTCTCCCTACCCATGCAGTTGGAGGAAGGAAATGAACTTGACATTTACCTAAAGGGAGTCCTATCTTTGTAGCAATAAATTAACAGCTCACTATCTCCATTCCTCCCCCTCTTCTCTTTGCCCGAGGACACCCCTTCTTATGGGCCCTATTATCAGCACATAGAATAACATTTCAAAGCCTCTCTGCGTGGATTTAGAGAACAAAGGATTACTGCTATCCCAGACTCCAAAACGTGATCTCTCCTGCTCATAGGCAATACACAGGTCATCCTTGGAGTCCCTTTTGGAACATTCAGTGGTATCTTCTGATTTTTATAAATCAGAGAATATTCCTTTTTAATTCCTTTATGTTTTTCAGTATTCTGTATATCTAGTTTTCACATTAAAAAAATCATTCGATTCAGGATATTTGTTTCAATAATCTTGGTCCTTAACTATGGCACATGAAGGCCAAGAGAAAATTGTGAATGATGGTTTTTCTCAGGACTAAAGTATAAAGAAGAGGTTCTATAACTGGACTGCATGGTAAGAGTTAATCAAATGCAGAGTTTTATATAAATATTAGTGTATGCATTTTTCTGGAACAGAATTCCCAGCTTTTATCAGATTTACAAAGGGATCTCAACCTTAAAAAGATTAAGAACCATTCATATGAGTCTTATTATTATCTATGAAGCATTGAGTCATCATTTCATTTCATGGAACCCTATCTATAGGAATCTATCGGCACTAGTTCCTGAAAATGCAAGTCCCAACATCCTATTTATATTCCAAGCTCAAAAGCCTACACCAGAAATCATCTGGAAAAATGAGCCATCCTGTTATGTAGCGCCTAATATAGATGATTCTCGTCATGTTTTGCCCAAGCCAATTAGTAAAGAATTTAGGTTTCAAAAGGAATATTAACTTATTTGAAGTGGGCCTGGAAGCGTTGATATTTTTATCATGCCCCATCTAATAAACTTTGTGATTTTATTTAAAATGTGATGATTAAAGGTCTCTTAAAGAAGGGGAAATGGGAAAGCTAACACTAACCAAATTCTCCCATGACAGTTCTCATTCTCACCTTAACCAAACTGTCCCGGCATTCCTCATCCTCACCTCTGAAAAGATAAAATACATGACTCAGCTATTCACTGTTACACTTACTGTTGCTGCTGGTAACAAATGGGAGATCTTGACCAAGTGTTCTTCAGCTCAGAACAGTAGGGACTGAAAAATAATTCTGTGATAGCTTCCAAGTATTTTGCTCACAGCCATGTGTCAGGTACTGTACCAAATTCTTCACATGCATGATCATATTTAATCAGTAATAATCCAGTTGTTGACCCCATTTTTCAGATAGACTGAGTGTCAAGCCACACACCTAGTTATTGATAGCTGCCTGATTCCACAGTCCACTACAGTACACAGGTCAGAAATCTCCATGTCTTGATGGTGGGAACTTAACGGAAAATGAGATGCCAGAGAACGTCATAGAAGTTTCTTTTTTGAAGTTCAGACAGTGAGAGCCAGATCTAAATTCAGCAAGCAACTTGTCTCTTTAAAAGAGAAAAGTAGGGTAAGACCTCATGGAGTTCACTTCATCATCGTTTTTTTCTGCCCTTGCAAGGAGAAACTGCTTTTTACAGGGAAAGGGTCCTATGGAGTTTCAGCGTAGAGAAACTGACAGTTACAAGGACAAAAGAAAACTGACATCAATTTATTTTTTAAATGCCATTCTGGAAAAGGCATTCATTCTTGCAATCCCTCCTTGTATGGGTGGAGCTAGGGGAGGACACATTTTGTTTCCTACTTAGAGGAGTGATATGAAACAGCTCATCTGTGTAAAATTGGCCTTGGCAGCGCTGCCAGGACCAATGAGGCCTTAAGGAATTTGCTGAGCAAATACTGGTTGTGCAAGTCGTGGGCTGAAAGCTGGGGTGTGCTTTGCACCCTGAAGTTGTATTTATTCCCTCATGGCAAAAATATGCAAAGAAAGCTGTAGCTTTCTCATAACATGTCAATTACTTCTTCTTCTTTTTCTTCTTTGCTGCAAGTCTTTTCTAGAGATTATTTCAGGAAGAGGCTTTTGACTTTTGTATGCATGACAGCCCCAAGGCAGTTGGGATAAGGCCACCAATGGCTGAACACCACATGAATCTCTTATTGTCTCTTAGTTGCATGTTCTGTCTTTTTCCTCATACCTACCTATAGCGCTCACAGGCATTATTTGGACTCTGAAGGGGTGCTGAGGGTTAATATTACTGACCTATGTTGCTGAACTAGTCTTTTGCCTTTTTGTAATTCTTCCTCGTGACACAAGAAGACAGGAGATTATGTCCACTCCACAAATACATGTATGATAGTACACAGCAATGGAAGTAATCTCAAGTGGATGGAATTGACATATTTTTTTGCTGCAAGTGAAAATCATCATGTTGAATAAATGCCGCCCAATGGTCCTTTCAAAGAAGATTTGTTCCTTTTACAGCTTGAGTCTTTCTGGGGTGTTTTAAGTCCTTTTCTAAACTTGATTTGCCAACAGGGAAAATTGGGTTCCGCATGTGCCGTCTTCTCTCTACCCTGAATGCTCAGTATCACGCTCTTGTCTGCATTTTCAGCCAGCCCTCTCGTCTTCATTAACTTCCATCGCTGCTCCTACAGACATAAATCATCTCTTACTTACCCTATGTCACTAATCTCCATGACTTTCCCCCATGTGTTGCTGTGGTTTCTGAACTGCATGTATCTGATTTGCCTTTTCCATGCCTCTGCCATGGCTGTAGGATTTCTTTGTGCACAGCAACTCCAAGCAGGTAAGTGAGCTACTACCTAAACCTTGCTTTACTAGAAACTCCTGGGCTCTCTGTAAGCTCTAAATGTCTTCGTTATCCCATATTGTTCAGACAGAGTAATATAATGCCCAGGTAATTCCATGTTGGGTTTCAACTCTTAACTGAATATTTAAAGGTACGTCAAGCTCAGCATGACGAGAGACAGTGAAAAGTTTGATCATGTGTGCTTCTTATTGTAAACTCCACCTTGTCTTTCTTTCCTAAACTGTTGTACAGTTCCAGAGCTCTTTGGTTTCCTTACATTTTTATTTTTATTTTTTTTTAAGATTTTGGGGAATTGGGGGAGGGTAACAGTGTTTGGGAATTGGGGGAGGGTAACAGTGTTTGGGAATTGGGGAGGGGACCAGCCAAGTTGTTCTTCAATCTTCGTTGTAGAGGGTGCCAGTCGCCATCTGGCTTCCTGTCTGCAGCTCATGGCCTCTAAGCTCAAGGTGCTGTGTTCAATCTTAGTTGCGGGTGGGCATAGCCACCATCCCATGCGGGAGTCGAACCAGCAGCCTTGTTGTTAAGAGCGCATGCTCTAGCCACTGAGCCATCCAGCTCCCTGTCGGCAGCTCAGCTCGAGGTGCTGTGTTCAATCCTAGTTGCGGGTGGGCATAGCCACCATCCCATGCGGGAGTCAAACCAGCAGCCTTACTGTTAACAGCGCACACTCTATCCACTGAGCCATCTGGGCAGCAGCTCAGCTCAAGGTGCCGAGTTCGGTCTTAGTTGCGGGTGGGCGTAACCCACCATCGAACAGGCAATCTTGTTACACCAGCTGAGCCATCCTGCCACCTGTTGGCAGCTCACAGACAGCTCAGCTCGGGCACAGTGTCACTGGCCCATGTGGGAATTGAACCGGCAGCCCTGTCTGTTGCTCAGAGCTCGCGCTCCTAAGCGAACTCTTAATCAACTGAGCCACTCGGCCAGGTCGTTTCCTGACATTTTAAAAATACCATGATCTATTTTAAAAATTGATCCTGCCCTCTAATGAAATCAAACTTGCTGTTTATCAAGTTAGTCTGTTTTCACCTTGATGTCCAGTTTACTCAAATGGTATTACATACATAAATATATGTAATTGTTTTATGTCTTTCCCACCATAAGTCATGACTGGCTATCATTGTTTGCAGCTTTCTGTACAGCAGCAAACTATGCAAGTAGTGTTTCATCGTTAACTCAAGTAATTGAACTAATGCCTTGAACTGCATCCCCCCCCCCCCAGTTGTCCGTCAGTCTCCAGGGTAATGAAAGGTACCATCTGGGCTTGGGAGCTTCCTGCTGCACATGCAGACCTTTGGGAGTCTTTATTCAGAGTTTTGAGTGCTCAGGCTGAAAATGGCCCTGGGGTGAATGTGCACTGCAAATGGCTGGACGGGCATTGGCAGGTCTCAGCTGAGCTTCATTCAAAGTGACACTTCTGTCTGCTATCCATAGGGATTTGGGGGACAAAAGGAGGGCACTCACTGATAATTTATGCACTCTTAGCATCTTCAACTTAGAAGCACTTTATTCTTCCAAATAATGGTTTTTCAAATGTGGGTGGTCAGCTTTTCTTATTATTTCCCTATTGTCAACTAGATTTTAGTCTTTGTTTCAATTCCTCCACCTCCCTACACTGTCCCCCTCACCATCTTAACTGTGTGTGTGTGTGTGTGTGTGTGTGTGTAAGTAAACAGAAAATATAAAGGAAAAGTATGTGTCTGAAGTCGGAATGTCCCTGTTTGACGTTGATGGATTTCTTTCATGCTCATTATAGAAAGAAGCAGACGCCATCGATGACACACTGAGTTCCAAACTTAAAGTCAAAGAGCTTTCGGTGATTGATGGTCGGAGAGCTCAGAATTGCAACATCCTTCTATCAAGGTATTGTTGATGTTGAATAAACATTTCTGGTGGGACCAACTTCTCTATCATGTGGCTCCAAACCACATGTTTGTACTGATTCTTTTCGGCTGAGATACGGTTCTTCAGACGCTCTTCTGTCTGATGTGAGGATGACTGTCAGCACTTACTTTCCCTACTGGAATATATCAGAGCCGGTTGCCTACTTTCTTAGAGCTTAATTTCCACAAACTTCTAAATTTAAATAGCAGAACATCCCACATCAATTGTGTGTGTGTGTTTCCCAGAGAGCCTGTAAAATGGACGTACTCGCATACTTTTGGCTCCAGATTTTGGTTGTTGAGTAACACTGTCACAGAATCAGGACCAACAATGAAGCCTCTTTTGTTTTTGCTTTCTATAGTCACCCTTTTATACTTCAAGGTTATATGATTACATGCTTTTTTCTGAAAATTTTTATGACTAAAAGGCCATGTAAATCTCCAACCTCACTGAAATGCTAATTTATCCAGCTTAGCCCTGTTCAGAAATCTTTCTTATAATTAGTGAACCATCCCAGCCTTGGAACTTGAAAAGAAGAAAGGAAGCTTGGAATCTGATCGTAGCTTCAGGCAGTGTGTCAGGTTGTGTTGGGCATTTCAAGGAGCTTTTCTGGATCTAGTTTCTGCTTTTCTCTAAAAGGGACTTTCACTTTAGGCGAAGATACCCAATGCTTCTGCGGTGAATAAGGATGTAAAGAACCTTGAACTTTGAGGCTTTCAGTGTAAGTCACATTGGCTACATTCTGGAAGGGAATGTTGTATTTGCATTGAGGCTGGTGTCAGGTGACTTCTCTTTCAGGGGGAGTAAAGAGGGAAAGTAGCAGTCCTTAGTTTTTAGATGATCTTAGAGTAAGTTTCTTTTAACACAAAGAGCTGCTGCTAGGTTTTCAGCATGGAAGCTTGATTGTTAGCCAGATATATATTACTTTAGGGAGCAAATGTTTCTTGTACTGAAAGAGAAATTGAAGCTTAGTGAGATCCCTGAATTTTAATACATCTACTAAGGTAACATGAACCCCCTGTTAGCATTTCATTTCTGCCTGTGGAAGAATGGAAACTATGTCAATGACCAGGCCCTGTATTTATCCCCACATTTGCTCCCGGAACACAGGCTGAGGAAGACACCAATGAAAGGAATTTGAAAGTCTACGTATTTTCCTTCTGTAGTATATATAATCTATTTTGTTAGACTTTCTTTTCATAAATAACGTTGTTTAATAGCAAGATTAAATTAAAATTTGGGAAGTTTTGTGTTTGTTTTTTTTTAATCCTAGAATTTCTCCCTATATTTTGTGCTTTTGCAATCCAAAGGGACACTTTAAAACAACTTGACAAAGAGAGCTATCACTTTGAATTTCTATAGTATTTAAGTGCTCATAGGACTAAAAACCATGACCCAGTTCCTAGCAGACAGATTATTCTCGGTACTAGGTGCCACCAGGGTAATTACACTAGTTATAGATAAGGTTATATCTCCTTCTGGCAAATTTCCCAGCCCTTAATTGAAGGAATTATTTCATATTTGTGGTATGTAATTCCCTTCTTACCTCAAAAGTGTCGGAGCCCAAGGTGAGTTAGAACTTGAATGTGTCTAAACTCTCTCTGGAAGACAGTTCTAGAACTTGCCTCATATCTGTTAGATTATCTATTAAAAAATTCAATTTAATAAATAAGTGTTATGACACTGCACATCAATAAAAAGCGTAGTGTGCATAACAAAGTAATTTTGAGTCTCAGTCGACCTTATGGTAATTGGGCATTATTGATCAGGTTCTAAAACCTTCTCGCCCACAGAGGAATCATTAGCACATGCTTTTCTGCTCAGGGGTCAATAGTTTTAACTCTCTTGGTCAGGAAAGAACAGGGCTGACACGTTATATGTGCTGTGGTAAAGGTAAAAGAAATTAAGCAGGTTTAATTTAAATTTGTTTAGTTTTTTTGAACCAGTGAGCAGTTTACCATGCTTTCATTCTCCCCTTTTCGTTGGCACTGCATTACTACCCACCGAAGGTGCTAGGGGCATACAGCAGGGAAGAGCCCTGTGAAAGTGTTTGGTACTTTTTTTCTTAAAGAGATACCACTTTGCTGCCTGTATTTGCCTGGCAGTATGCTGGGTGCCACAGGACATACCCAGACTTATGGTAGCACTGCTGCCTTTGGAAGCTCGTGGCTGATTGGAGAAGAAAGATGACAGAGGCGATACGACTTGTGAACAATTCAGAGCTTGGACTGGTCTGACTGGAAGGAGACAGGAGCTCAGCCAAGTGAGAGTGACACCAGCAGGGTTTTTACCAGGAAAGTGGGCCTCGAAGGGTAATAACAGTTACGTGGGCAGGGAGGACAGAGGCAGTTCCAAGGAGGTGTGCAGCAGGTGGAAAGGCAATTCCAAGGAGGTGTGCAGCAGGTGGAGGAGTATAAGCATAGCTATTAAAGAGAGCCCTGTAATTGCTGCAGACAGTTACCACGTAGATTGAACGAGACCAGGAAGGAGAGGCTGCGATCCGTGCCTGGTGTCTTGGTAAGGGCATGAGTCAGCCCCGGAACCAGCCATACCTTCCTCATCTATAAAATGGAGATAATACAATGGTAGCCTTGCAGTGGGCTTGTGAAACCATTACCTGGCAGGATGGCTGCATGTGGTAGCTGCTCAGTTTGTGGCCTGTTTATGTGCCCACGGGATCGGATATTGGTGCAGTTTGTTCCGGAGGAGAACATTTTGTTTTTATAAGATTCCAAGTTTTATCTCTCAAGGGTTTACAGGATAGGTTGGGAGGGGTCAAGAGCTGGAAACAGAGGCAGCTCAGGTAGGAGGCTCTTTCTGTTGTCCAGATGAGACTTAATGAGAGGCAGAGCTGAGAGAGACTAAGAAACCCTGAATAGGACTTGGAGACTAATTTTGTGCATAAAGACAATAAATAGGAACATTTCCAAGTTGATGTCAAGATTTCTTACCTTTCCACATGGACTATCTTGCTTCTTTTCTGCTTATTTCATTCCTAAAGGATGGCAACCCTCTCTGCTTCTTATCTTGCTGGCTAGGAATTTAATTCCGGGCAATGCAGTCATTCCACCACATTCCACCACAGTGCAAGCTGGCGGCATATTCCATAAGGGGTATTTTGATGAATGCCTATGTTTGTAGTGTTTGGTAATCCTTCAAAGCTCTTCCTTAGCCCCACACTGCAAAAGTTAGTGGACCCTTTAGTCAGGGGCACCTGCCACAGCCTCGCCTGGAGCTGAGCAGGCCATCGGAAAGAAAGCCCTTTCTGTCCCAGGGGCCAAGCAGGGGAGGAGGCACATGTCCTTTTTATGTGCTCACAATGAGTGGCCAGGGTCCCTTTCAGCTCCTAGAAAGAGAGTAGCTGGAAGATGTGAGCTTGAATCAGAAGCTCCAGGCCACCAGGGACTCTGCCTCCCCCACACTTGAGAAGAGAGTGGCAGAGGCCCTAAGCAGATTGAGCAAAAACTTTTCTGCATGTCTGTAGGCAATATGTGGCGATTTGAAATTCACTCTGCTTTATTCCCTAAAACAGACCTCTCCCTTCCAAAAAAAAGAGAGAGAAAGAAACTTGGAAGTCAGTTTATATTGCAAAATGAACCCACCTAACATACACTTTTATGAAGTGTTCTGCCATTCTTTTTTTCCAGATGCTCACTTAACATGGCAGCCAGGGTGTAGTAAACCACAAAAAAGCTACTTTAAAGTAGGAGGATTTGGCTTACATCCACTGAAGCAGAGCTAAGATCTAGCCATCCATCCCTAACTTATTGTAATTACTCCTGGATGTTCCAATTCTCTTGGCAAATTTTTGAAATACTTGAGTAGAGCAAGGTAGAGTTAAATACTGTTTTTAAATGGCCAGTTTGTTTCCTGCCTGGTAGAGAAAGTTGAAGTGGATGTCTCACAAGTTGCCACCCTCCAGCACACCAGAACACTGCCAAGCTTTAAAAGCAATTAAAAGGTTAGAACTGGTTGGGTCCTTAAATTACAGAGATTAGCAACTCATTCTGTGGATGACAGATGATACTAAGAACTCGGCAACCTATGGAACCATCCCGGAGGGCAGCATAGCCTTCTCCTCTTTCCTCAGAGGTAGTTTCTTTGTCTGCTCCAGCCGGCCACGTGCAAGGCGGTATGTTGACAGGTAGATTTTCCTAAGTACTATCCATTAAAGGCTCAAGTCTCTTTGTGGGCCACATTAACAGAAACCAAAATTGTTATGAATTAGAGCTAGTGTTTAGTCCAGACAGCCTCTGGGAGGTTGAAGAGCATAAATATATACAATTTCAAAAGCAAGACGTTCTGCACTCCATATGGGGAGCTAATGAAATGCAAATCCAATACTTCAAGTATTGTTCTCACTCTGATTTTCAACTTCTTTTCTTTTAAATGCAAAACAGAAGGACTCTGGCAGAACTACACCATAAAGTGGTTTCTTCAGCTCTGTGTGTAAAGGACACAGGAACTAATTTATTTTTTTTCTTATAAGCAGAGCTTTTCTCATGATGACTATAGGTGTTTCCAGAGCCAGTTGGTTTTCATTCGTGGCGGTTGCAACCTTCGCTGATGTTGCCCTTCCGTGGCCTTGTCTGGCCGTAATGTGGTGTTTGCCCTTAATTGACTCAAGAGCCTTGGGTGTCCCAGAACCTAGAGCCACACAGGGCCTGTACGGTGGAGACCTTGATGCTGGGATACAGCTTTCCCACCATGCGGTTTACCCATGCCCACTTGGCTTAATTCTTCCACTTACGTTTGGGGCTTTGCCACCAGGGCATTCTGGCAAACATGTTCATGAGACAGTGATTGTCACCAGAATGACTACAACAATCTGGATACGTCTTCCCAGGTCCAGGGCTGCTATCCACAGCCCAGGAGTGACGATGGTACTGCAGCTAGGACTAGGCAATCGAATGGGCCTTATTTTATTTTATTTTATTTTTTTAAAGATTTTTACTGGGGAATTGGGGGAAGGGGAACAGACAAGTTGCTGTTGTTTTGTTCTTCAGTCTAGTTGTGGAGGAC